TATATTTTGGAAGACTTGTTTTTTTGTTTGTTTCCAATTTTCAAGTTTTGCAGAAAGTCTTTTAGAAGATATTTAAAAGTTTCCTAAGTTTCACTCCCTTTAAGGTAACTTCTAGCTATAAGAATGATGCCTTTAAAATCTTTTTTTAAAAAGGATTTTATTTATCTGACAGAGAGAGAAAGAGCCCAAGCCAGGGGAGGGGCAGAGGGAGAGAGAAGCAGATTCCCTGCTGAGCAGGGAACCGGGTGTGGGGCTCAATCCCAGGACCCCAGCATCATGACCTGAGCCCAAGGCAGATGCTTAACTGACTGAGCCACGCAGGCACCCCGCCCTAAAAACCTGTCATTACCTGGATCACAGGAAATTGGTGGAAATTTTTACTACTAATCATATAGTACTGCAGAGTAGATCAAACAACTCTTCTTTTCAGAAAATAACATTTTCAGCCACATATGTTAATCTGCCTCATAGATTTAAGCATTTCACATCTGGGGGATCTTAAACTGAAAATGTCCACAAATCACACAGCCTGGCTGGCTGGGGAGGAGGGAAGATACAGAGTAAGGGGATCCACCCTGAATTCCAGTCTCTTGGCTGATCCTGCATTTCTCCTACAGCATTTCTTTACATTTAAGAAAAACCCAATTGCACTTGACAGGATGAGCACTGGATGTTATTCTGTATGTTGACAAATTGAACACCAATAAAAAATAAATTTATTTAAAAAAGAAAAGAAAAGAAAAGCCCAATTGTCTTGCAAACTGTATCACCCTTTTGGTGAGGTTAGACGGCTTACGGCCACATTTCTAGCATTTTCTCTTGGTTTTCGTGCTTTTGGAGGAAAAGAAGCCCTGTTCCCTCTGACACTGGAGCTTCCTGCCAAAGGACTCTGCTTTCTCTGTGGCCAGCTCTGGAGACCCAGAAATCCAGTCTGTCGGGGACAGCCAAAGTCACAGGCAGAGGACACATAATTAGCTCGTGTGAACTTTGCTGTTGTTCTTATGGTGGTGGTTTTTATTTAGGATCAAAGAGTTCAAGCGGGAACCGATCTGCTGGCTGTGGGGAAAGTTTCAGGTTTCTTGGCTTAAGCAGATCATTGGACTAACAGGTCACCTGTAGAGAGTGTCTGTCGCTCCCTGAGCGCCTCTGCACTGTCAAGAGCTGCAGTAACCACAGTCTAAGTGACTGATTTTATAACCTAACCCAGGTAGGTGCTACGTACTTTTTAGTGGCAAAGAAGCGGTGGGGAAGGAAAAGAGAACAAAGACCCAAGTGGTGGAATTTAGTAATAAAAACAAAGCAGAAAACCAAAAACATATTTCTTTCAACAGCCAATGTACTTTCCTGTTTAGAGAACTGTTGCCCCCCCCCACTTAACCACAGACAACAAAGAATAAAATAAATTGGGGCTCCTGGGTAGCGCAGTCAGTTAAGCAGTCAACTCTTGGTTTTGGCTCAGGTTGTGATCTCAGGGTCGTGGGATCGAGTCCCACATTGGGCTCCACACTCCGCTCAGTGTCTGCTTAAGACTCTCTCCCTCTCCCTGGGCCTCTCTCTACCACGCTCTCCCTCTCAATAAATAAATATTTTTTTAAAAAGAATAAAATAAATTAAGATTAAATGGCTAGTTATTCAATAGGGGTAGGGAAATTAGAGTCTGGAATTCCCGTGCTTGTCTTTGAGAAAGGAATGAGGCAAAGAGAAGATGAAAATGCCATTGTCTGTTCTGTGCAATAGAGAGACTTCTGTGAGCATCCACAGAAACCCGCCCTTCGTCTGTTGCCAGGAAAGCCCACGGGAGGTTATCAGCTTTGCAGCTTCCCTAAGGGCTCCATGGAGTCAGGGCATGAAAAAAAAAAGTTTCTGTTTGGGTATTTTGGCAGGTATAAGACAACATTATTGAGTAATACTCTGCTAGGGCCTGGGACCAGCACCAGGTGAGCAGGAAAAGAGAATCCCTCTCTGGGACAAGGTTTTCTCAACCCTCCTGCTCTCAGAGGGGCCCTGAGATGTCTACAGGACGAGTACGGGAGTTGTCAGCATCATTGACAAATTCCTGAAGTGGATCTTCTCTGTCACTGGGGGAGCTGAAGGGAGGCCAAAAGATGTTGTAAGAGGAATTGAAGGGCTGGCTAGAGAAATGGTCCCATGTGCACCTCCGGTGCCACACCCCTGGCGGCTCCCCCACAGTCAGGGCAGGGCCTAGAAGCTGCTTTGCCTTCTCTCCAGGACAGGTGTGGCTCCTCTGCCTGCCAGTCTCGTTCTCATGCTGTTGCATGTCCAAGGATCATCCCCAGGGGCTGATGCAGATTCATGTTGGCCAACTCAAGTGGTAAAGGGGACCCTGAACTGGGACGCCTGCGTGGCTCAGTGGTTGAGCGTCTGCCTTTGGCTCAGGACATGATCCTGGGGTCCTGGGATCGAGTCCTGCATCGGGCTCCCTGCAGGGAGCCTGCTTCTCCCTCTGCCTATGTCTCTGCCTCTCTCTGTGTGTCTCTCATGAATAAATAAATAAAATCTTTAAAAGGGAGGGAGGGGACCCTGAACCTTGGCTTCTGGTAGTTTTGCTCCCATCCAAAATTGAGCAAGGTTGTGTGCTGAGAGCAGCACTCCCTGGCGATAGAGGCTCCCTGCCGGGGATGAGTCTCAGCCTAGCCCAAGTGCTCTCTCAGGGATGATGTGAGGTGCGTGCACTGGTTTACCTCCAGCTGCCCTCCACGTTTACACCCGGTAGGTCCTCTCTCCAGCCTCAAGACTCAATGGCTGTGACGAGAGGACTGGCAGTCGGGTGGGGAGGGATAGAGGGGAGCTCCGCTGAACAGGGGAGAGGCAGGGATGCCAACTCCAGGAGAGTTTAATCCTTCACCTGGGCTAACCCCATCTTCAATAGCCCAGACACTGGGGGAGCAGCCAGAGGGGGCGGAGCTGGCCCTCTGGCTAAGTGATGTTCAAAGACAGAAAAGAGAAAAGCAAAAAGCCATTATAGCTTTAAACACTTTTGCTGAGTCTGCTTCAGGTCCTGGAGCAAAGCACACAGGGAGAGCTGGCCTCGCCCTCTTCCTTTCCCATGAGTGACTTATTTCTCCTTTTGACTAAAGTTCTTGGCAAAGTGATTTACCTTGGATAAGGAAAAAGTTGAGGCCAGGGGAGACTGGTGCCCAAGGACCATCCTTGCCCCTGGGACCCATTCCCTCAGAGAAGTCTTGATTGGCCTCCACTTAGTCCATCTGCAGACCCACTGGGGTGTCTTTGCCAGTGGCTTTGGGCTGCTGCCCAGGCTCCCAGGCGAGAGCTCCGTGCTCCCACCAGCACAACAGTCCTCATGCCTCTGCCCGGGGAGTGAGGAAGATTCCTTCTACAGAAGCACTTCTCTCGAGGAGGCGAGGCCTGCTAGCTGAGGTCTGTCATGCCTTTGCTCACAGAGGTGCCAGCCTACGCTCTGCCCTTCATCCTCTCTCCTTCTAACCCCCTCGCCCATGCAAGACTCCTTGCCTTCAGGCCACGACCAGACCACTTTCACACTTCAGAATGTGATTTCGTAAGAAACCCCCACGAGGACAGTCATTGCCAACCTCCTGGAAGGAACCAGAGGACTTCTCTTCTCCTGCCTGCCATTGCAGTGGCTTCCTTTGGTGGCCAGGGCCGTGAGCAGTCAGACACACTGAGCCTCTCTACGTGGATAAGCAAAACTCCATTGACTTCTCTCCTTTCCTGTTTTTCCCTCAAGGATCTAGGGAATTGCTAAATGTGTCCCACAGCCCTGCCATATCTTCTTCAGCAAACTTGGAGACATTCTTCCAAAGGTGTGGCGGTTTACTATGCCCTGGGCATCTTCTCATGCTGTGGAGGCAGCAGAAAAGAAAACCATGCCTCTCATACCACCACTTCCACACCCAGCCTTCTGGGGAATCATAATTCTTAATGCATCTGGAGGAGGAGGGGCTAGGATGCTCCAGAAGAAAACGGTTGGCACAGTCAGCTTGAAAGAGGTTATCCTGAGCTATGGCTCAAATTTTATACACCCATTTATTCCCCTAGAATTTATTGAGCACCTACTATGTTGTGCCTGGGTTCTAGAGCTACAGGGTGGAAGACAAACAGTACTGCTGCAGAACCTGGGGAGTTGAGTCTAGGGCAGGGCCTCACAGCCAATGAAGATTCTATGCTCAGGACCGTTGGCCCCCCAACTAGCTTCTGCTGGAGGGACTGCCCCCCGGCTTCTCCTGGTGGGGGTCTAGTGATACCGTGTGAGGAGCAAAAGCTCAAGGAGGTGCATCTGACTCAGGGGAGTCAGGCTTTGGAGAATTCCTTCAAGAGTTTCAGTTAAGGGCGCCTAGGTGACTCAGTCAATTAAGAGACTGCCTTGGGCTCAGGTCATGGTCCCAGGGTCCTGGGATGGAGCCCCTCATCAGGCTTCCTGCTCAGGGGGGAGTCTGCTTCTCCCTCTCCCTCTGCCTTTAATTTCCTGTCTTCCCTTCCTTTTATCCTGCCACACTCTTGACACCTTCCAAAAAGCTTAGTGGCTCCTCCCTGCCTACAGGATTGAGTTCAGACTTCTCGGTTTGCCTTTCTGGGGCATGCAGGCTCAGTATAGGACTGTTGAATATGGTATCAGAATGAACCATTCTCTTGGTCTTTTTCAGCACCTGTATTTCACAGGAGTTGATGGGCTGGTCTTTCTGGGAACTTGAGATTAGTATTTTTCCTTCAAAATCAACTTTACTTCTTGCTTAGAACCTGTTACAGACAAAGGTCTTCCCCACCCCTACCCCCAGCCAAACCCAATAGACATACGTGAGCCAGCTGTCCCTGACCCCACACTCTGACCCTTGGAATGAACTGAAACAAAGTGTCCCTTCATGTTTTTCAGCAACGGCTTGTCTTGTCTGCTCTATCCTCATAACTGAACAATGATTGCAATCCTCTGTACTTTAATATGTAGATAAATTATTAACAGTGGGTTGTACCTTTTCCCAGGTTGTAAAAGGATGACTGGTTAGAGTCCCAACGTTCTCCTTGTCAGTGGAGGAAATGTAGGAGAGGTTGTCATCTCAGGCCACTTGTCTCTAAGACTCGTAACAAAGATGTGGCAGGCTCCAGCCAGGAGTGTGAGCAGGGTGACAGACAGCAGAAACGACCCAGGTGAGCCTTGGTGACTGTCCATTTCTTTGTCGGTTTTGATCCTTTTTTCCCATCTTTCACTTCTGGGACCAGGAACGGGCAGCGGGCGGAGAGTATAAGTAGCATATCAATGGCTGTTCAAAGGTCTTAGGGAAAGGGCTGTGTTTTGATAAGAAATGGGCAAGGACACTACATGTTAACATAAAGACCAACGTGAAGGCCCACTGTGAACCCCAAGTATTCCAAGAGGAAAGTGTGGACCTGGCATGGGCACAAAGATGGAGAGGCCAACATGATAATATACTGGCGTGATCACATGACAGACCAGTCTGTCCTAGGGGAATGGGAAAGGACAAATTGGGGGGAGAAGTTGGGGACGGGGCATGGTTCAGGGCCCAGAAGATGCTGGAGTCAAGGATGCATTGCTTGATGTGGAATTGGGAACATCTCCAGATCCAGCAGGAAGGTAGAGAGACTGAACTGTGCAGAGCCACTGGAGCCCGTGCATGCCGCCTTCATCAACCATAACTGTTTTGGGCTGAAGTGTTGTTGTTGTTGTTGTTGTTGTTGTTGTCATTGCCGTTGTCGTTGTTTTAACAGGTGTCAGCTTTTTAGAGCAGTCTTAAGTTTACAGAAAAATCATGAAGAAAATACAGAGGGTTCCAGTGTCACCCAGTCTCCCCTACATGTAAATCCTTTTATTATTAACATCTTGCATTAGCTTGGTACATTTCTCACAATGATGAACCAATATGGATATATTAGTATTGGTTAAAGTCTGTAGTTTACATCAGGGTAAACACAACTCTTTTGTGTTGTACCATTCTGTTTGACCAGTGCGTAATGTCAGGTGTCCGCCGTTACAGTGTTGTATGGAATAGCTTCACTGCCCTAAAATCCCATCTCTCGCAATCTGGCTTTCTCCCATACCTTTGGCAGCCACCGATCCTCTTACTGTCTATATTTTGCCTATTCCACGATGTCATATAACCAGAATCACATAGAATGTGAGTTCTATAGAATTCGGACAACCTTCTTTTACTTAGCAAATATGCATTTAAGTTTTCTCCACTCTTCATGCCTTGATAGGTCATTTCTTTTTAGCGCTTAGTAATATCCCCTTGTATGGATGTGCCACAGCTTGTTCATCCATTCAAGCAGACTTTTCAGTGAGTTAAAAGGCAGAAGCAAGGGGCACCTGGGTGGTCGTTCAGTTGGTTAAGCATCTGCCTTTGGCTTAGGTCATGATCTCAGGGTCCTGGGATCTAGCCCTGCTTTGAGATCCCTGCTCAGCAGGAAGCCTGCTTCTCCTCCTCCCTCATCCCCTCCTTCTGCCTCTCCCACCCCATGTTCTTTCACTCTTGTGTGCACAGGCTGTATCTCTCAAATAAACAAATAATTTTTTTTAAAAAAAAGGCAAGCAATGAAGAGTAGATGAAGAAGAAGGAGCAAAGGCCACAAGATGTCAAAGAAGCAAAAGGTTTAGAGAAGGGGAATAACAAACTTTAGTGCAGAGGCCTGAACCAGCCCAAGACAAGGTTCTTGAGACCAGTGTTCAGTAAGAGAGGCCAACTCCTCACTGATTCCTGCCAGGCCTTCCCTGCTTGTATAGTCATGAAGTTTTATAGATACTTCATAAGGGTAAGAACCATGCCAGCCTCATCCTGAGAGTCCAACACATGGCAGATAGCCAATGAATAGTTGACAAGGCATCTAAACCTCCAGAATCTTTTCTAAAGAGCAAGTTTGCCCAATCACCAGAAGATCTGAAGCGTCTGAGGCTGGCCTGTCATCTCTGGCGGGTCCCCTGCCTGCTTGGCTGAGCCCCTCTGTGCCACAGGTGGAGGGCGGGGGGTGGGCAAGGGTAGCCTAGGACTTTTACCTTCTTCCCTGGGAATACATGTCTGTTGCCACCATCTTCACCTGTCTTGTGAGATGTTCTACGGACACAAGCAGGCTCGACTGTAGGGAGGCGGAAAAACCAAGGGAGATATGGGCCAACCTAACATAGGAGGTTAAAAAAGCTTTCTTGCCATAGGATTGGAATTCAGCTTTCCATGTACTCATTTTTCAACCCAATCACATGGCAGGATAATTAGCCCAAATAACTTCTGTATAACTGGAAGAACAAGCAGGGTGATTCAGGTGATAAGAAACAGCTACGAGAGGAAGACGGGCCATGCCTTCCACTCAGAAAATATGCTAATGTACAGGGGGAAATTCTGTGCCACAAAAGTCTCAGTCCACGAGTGGGAATGATTGAAGCCCAGTGAGGGGAGTGCAGCTGGGGAGAAGGGGCTGCTCTGCAGGGGAGCTGGTAAGTCAGGTCAAAAATTGCAAAGCACATAGAAATCTGCCAGTTACAAATTAGTAGCTCAGTGGTGCTCCCTGGACAAAATAGCACATCACTGAGACCTGGTGTGTTGGTGCAGGGTCATTGCTTAAAATCTGGTCTTCTCCTAGGGTGTGATATTGGTGTTCCTTGGTACCCACATGACTTTCAGTGTAATGAGAAGGGCACATGAGCCCAGGAAGACTATGAGGGTGTCTGGCTTGGGGTCTGTTCCTATCCTACCCACGTAAATACTCATGTGCCCTACGTAGTTCCCACAACCAGTGGAGAGCTCTTGAGAATTTCTTCTGTAAGAAAAAGAATGTAGTGGATTCTTGACCCAAAGGCTATCCTGAACAATGGGGCTCATCTGGAGACATGCATTGACTCCTCCTCCCCACTGTTACTTCACTAGAGGAGTCAGGGTTACTGTGGACATTTAATTTGATGGATGGCAGAGGTAGAAACATTAGGTGGAGTGAGGAATAGCTGCCTTCCCACCTTGAAGCACCAAATGGCAATCCCTGAAGAAGGAGGACATGTCTGTGAGGTAGATGGCCCAGTGTTGATTCTGTAGGTCCCCAGAGGGGCAGAAAAAGTAGTCCAAACATCTCCATGTAATCAGAAACCCAAACAGAGGAGAGTCAAGCTCAAATCACAGCATGGTGTCTGCCTTGGGGACAGTTGGTCTCTCCTGATGCATCCACATCTGGCCACTTCTGCTGAACCTGGCGGGTGTCTGGGGCATTGCTGGCACATGTGGATCCCCACAGAGCTACGACAAAGCTTTCCATATCCAAAAAGTTCTATGAGGAAGATGGTGTTTGTGCCTCACCAAAATCTATATTCTTGGGGTGTCTGTTATTTTGGTGCTTTATGACACAGAATTTTCAGCTTCATTTCTTGCTCATTGGCTTTTGTCTTCAGGCGTAGGACCTGCTTGTGGAAATTTAGGGCACAGTCCACCATTTGGCAGTAGAGGCAAAGTGGCAAGCCTCGGTTACTCTGCCCTGGGAACACGCACCACTGCCACACAATCCTCCACCTCTCTCCTCCCATTCATGCTCTTCCTCCCTGGCTTTCCAGAACACTCTTTAGACTTAACTCCTTCTTTCTTGGTCCATGCCCTTCCTTTCCACTTATCCTGTTTGTTAGCCACAGACATGGGAGCACATTTAAATATCCACCCATAACAAAGGTAAAACCTAAGCATGGGACCCAGAGTCCCCAGGAAATTGGAATGTAGGGGAGATAGGAGGTCATAGAGCTGAGAGTGGCAGGCAGAGGCAGGCATTGGCTCTTTCCCAAGGAGCCCTGAATTTCCGGGGCCATTAAAGGGCCCCATTTATGACAGAGCCCACAGCCATGCCCTTACTGTCTATAACAGAATTATAGGTCACTCACTTACTCATGTATTCTCTCAGCAAATGCTGAGTTATATAACAGGGTTGACTTGGAACACAAAGATACCTGAAAAATAGTCTTTTCCCCAAGAAGTTTCATAACAAGTGTGATGAAGTCTGTGGTCTGTGGTCCTGAAAGATGCCCGGGTAGTGAGGAAGCTGGGAGCCCATCTGGGCTGATCTGGGAAGAAGTTCTAAGGACTTGACACCTGAAACGAGTCTTGAAGGGAAGGTTGAGAGGAGGAGGGCACTGGGTAGCATGTTCCTGACAGGAGCCAACGCAGAGGCAAAGGCACCGAGCAAGCAGGGAGGTCATTGGGATTTCAGTGGCTGGAGGCCCAGGGAGAAGGCAGAGCCAGCTCAGGAGGGACCCTGAGGTCTGTGCATGGGAGGCCGTGGAGCAGAGAGATGTGCAATCAGATTCATACTTTGAGCAGGAAGGCCTGGCTGAAATGTGGAGAGCAGTTTAGAAGGAACCAGACAGACACACAGAATGCATCAGAGGCCGTTACAATAAGATTGGCTGGAAACGACACCCTCTCCACACCTGTCCACCCTGGGCTCCCTGTCGGAGGGGAAGGCCAGCCGGAGAAAGGGCTCGCAGGAAACTCGGTCATTGGTCTCATCATTTTTGTGCTGCCTGTGACTATAATGGCTTTGTTTTACAGCCACTATCATGTCAAATCACCATCGCATGAACGTTCCCATCAGGTGAAAGCTAGCCTCCAGAACGGGGAGACGACAACCGTCTGTTGTCTGAGCCACTCAGCTCGTGGCCCTTTGTTACGCAGCCCCAGCGCACGCTGATGCAAGCAGCCGGCTCACTAATCCCACATGGAGGCTACTGGGGTGTAGAGAGGAATGCCTCCCTCGAGTGGAGAAGACACACCCTTTACATCTCCCAGGTCTCTCCAGGGCCAGTCCAGGTCACGTTCTAGTCTGGAGGTTGGGCAGCATCGCAGGGTCATGCTATGGGTGAGCCGCCCGGCGAAGTTACCTGTCCTCATTATGCCAGCACCGCCCAGTAGAAATATAAGGTGCCAATATGCTTGGGAAAACTCTCTCCTGCTCCCAGGATTCTGAGCAGAAACAGGTGCAGCCAAATATAACCCCAGCCCCCCTCCTCCTCCACCCAGCCTCTCACCACAAGGAACCGACAGGTTCCATTGCTCTTAGAGTAACGGACACGTGGGCAGAGGGGAGACAGCTGCTCTCATTCCTTGATAGGCCTCCATCCCAGCAGTGTGCATGTATAAATTCCACCAGTGTCACTGCTCCTGCTACGA